CTCTTAATACCCTCCCATTAAGAACAGAGAGAGAAGCAGGTTTTCTCATGTCTGTTTAGGAGGGCTCCAGTTCTCTTCAAAAGGGCTCTGTCTTCATGATCAAATCACCTCCCCAAAAGCTCACTGCCAAATCTCCCCACTGGGAACTAATTCAACTAATTTCAACATGCACAATTTATGAGAATAGAAACGTTCAGGACACAGGATTATTAAACCTGGGGATGAGGTGTATAGCTGATTTGAGACCAGAATAGCAGAACAGGTGCTCCACAGTGATTTTAAACAATAGTCTTTTATGTAGATTTGTAATAGAATGATCTAGACAGAGTTTTGTATTAAATAAATAGAAAAACCCAACTCAGAACAACTGAATCAGAATGTTTGGACATCTCCCACACCTAGGCAGGTGTTAAAATCTCCTCAGATGATTACAGTACATTCTACATTTAAAATCCACTAATGTGTCCTGCTGAAATATTCTCCACAGATGAAGAAATTAAAGTCTGGAAGAGGAAGTTGTCCTTGTCTAGAAGTAATGATTGCCACTATTTTTAAACAAACTTCATCCCACTAGCTTCAGAGATCAATAAATGATGGTCGGTTAAAAAAAAAAAAAGAAAGAAAAGACAAAAAGGAAAAGGAAAAGTGGAAAACAGGGGAACCAAAAGAAAATGCATTTCACCAACTCAACAACGCTGGAGGTGCTTATATTGCATTTTCTTTATCTGCCCTTTTATTCTGAAACACCCCTTGAACTCATGATTTGCTCCCCAATCATCTAACAATCCCTGCTTCTGATGTAGTGACTGGCCCGGATTATGGGTTGAGTCACACGGAGAATGAATATAAAAGAAATAATGCCACTACAGTCCAACAATAATGGCCACCACCAGAAGATAAAAAGAAACCAGAAAAAAAAAATTTCTAGCGAGCCTTCCAATGAAGCCATAGGGCCTACAGGCCCAAAATATTTATTAGCTGACCCTTTGTAGAAGGGCTGAAGACTTCTTCCTACAGAAGACACACATATCAATGGTTGCTCTCCCTTCTCTGACTCATTTCTCTGTTTCTTTGTACCACCCCCACCTGCCCACCCAGGTAAGGGACTTGCAACCACACTCTGTGTCCGCTTGGCTCTTAGAGGAACCTCAACTAAAGTCTTTCTAATATTTTCCTGACATTGACAGCCAACACAACATCCAGCAAAGAACAGATTCTCAAATAGTTTTTTTTTAAATATACACATAGAAACTTGAAAATGGATGCTAAGTCATCAGATAAAGAACCCTATTAGACAAAAACAAAAACAAACAAACAAAAATCTCAAGGAAGGGTGCTAAGAATAGGTCAATGGATGGATAGATCTGTGAAAGATTCCAGGAGCCTTTTCCTGCCCAATTACACCTCTGGGTTTATGAAATCCCAGTATCATGGCATCATGAATAATCTTTCCCCTGCAGGCACTCTCTGTAACAGGGTTCAGACTCTTTCCAAGGTTAGATATGTAGTACCAACACCTGATGCTGACCCTTGAGACAGGTGCTTCAGTAGACTCCTAATCTAAGCCAAAGAGATCATCGGAGACAAGAGGAGGAGGACAGGCCTGGAACGGTCCTCTGTGTCTGTAACTGCCATTTTCCTTTGTTACCAGTTCTGCTCAACAGGTCAAAGCAGCTTGGGGTAATTGCTCCAAGATATATAGCAGGATGGGTCCTGGGGACCTGGCATACTTTTCTCTAATAATTGGATCTTTTCTAATATTCCTGACATTACCCATAATCCTCTCCTGTACTTAGCACCACTTTTTTTTTCTGTACCAGAATGAAGATCTCTTTCATTTTCATTTTTCTTTTCATTTTCATTTTCATTTCTTTCAAATGAAGATCTTTGAAAGAAAACTTTCAAGATTTCTTCCTTGAAAGTTTGGGTGGGACATGAACTGTCATTTCAGATTTGTGTCATCCAGTTATCACTGTGCGTGAGGAACCATTTCGACACGTAGAAGTGACCGTAAGAATGCCCCTTACAAACCAGAAACAGAGCTGATCTTGGGTGCTAGCTATTGTCCAGACATACTACCACATTTATGTCATAGCCCCAGTCTTCCCTTCAACAATGACTTAGTGCAATGGGACCCAAATCACCAGTACCCAGAGACCTATAACTCCATAGCTCCTTTGCAGGCCAGCTGAGACTGGAGAGCTTCCCAGGGTCCTGCCACACCTTCAGTAGACCAAACAGTGGCCTGGGGAGCTTTCACTCCGTTTTCTCTCCTATACCTTCACTGGGCTCAGATTTGCATTGACTTCTGATGCCTGCCCTGCCCTTCCCAACCCCTTCTGGTTTCCTTTCTCACAGGCACATCCTTAAAAAGAACTTTACACCTTTAATTTCATTTTACCATCTTCTTTGTCATAAATCTAAATGAGCTCAGGTTGGTTCATTAGAGTCTCACAATTTATATCTACAAAATTTAAATAAAATCTCAAGAAACAAGCTAGCCTGCAGTCAGCGGAAAATCACAAAAGATCTAGTGCTTAAACTCAGTGTTCTTTTGCTCTGGGGTGTGTGTTAGGACTGGGTATATAGCTCAGAGCTACAGCATTTGACCAGTATACACAAAAGCCTATGCTGGATCCTCAACAACACAAAAGTAAACCAAAACCAACAAATGGAGAAACAAACAAAGAAAGGACATACTTTCTCTGCACTTGCCCGGCTCCTAGAACTGCCTGTTTGAGGTTGCACAGAAGTTTGCAGACATGAAAGAAGGTGAGGGGGCTATTTGGGAGGAAGAAAGGGAATATCAAGGGCGGGGGGGGGGGAGAGACAAGAAGGCCATGGGAGAGTGATCAAATAAGAACAAAATATAATGATATGTATGCGTGAAAATGGCATAATGAAGTCCATAACCTAATATGCTAACTTAGAAAGTTAATTTTAAAAAAATTCATATTATAAGGAAATGTCATGCACATCCTGGATGGCTCTTAGAAAATGCAGAAACCACACACACACACACACACACACACACACACACACGCACACACAGCATTTGGAGTTAATGTGAATTATAGGTAAAAAGACAAGCTGAGGAGTTCAAAAGAATACTGTGGGTAGAGTCCAAGAAGAAAAAGAACTGCCACATGCTCAGTGGGGCCATGACTGAGGAGCCTGAAGCCCTTGGGATGGGTTCTCTTTCACAAAACACTGTAACAAGACAACTCTACTACTGTTGAAAAAAGAGAACACAAGAGACTAAAACGGACACAAAATCAGTTCAATTCTGATCATTTTATTAACCAGGGGACATTATCGTACATTATATAAACAAGTGGGGTGACAATGAGCTAGAAAAACTGAAGGCAAGTATAGGAAGTCTTCTGTATGTGTCCTGAGTTCTCCCAAGCTTGTTGGGCTCCTTCCCCATTCTCTCCACTCCTGGGACGAAAGGGTAAATGCCTCAGGAGTCCTAGTCCCAGGGGATCTCACACCCTCATCTAGTCTCTATGGACACTGCACTCATGTGGTATATAGACATGCATGTAGGCAAACCAGCATCCCACATAAAATAAAATTAAATAAATTTCAAAAACAATTTTTTTTAAAGATTAAAACTCAGGACTTCACCAGCCGTGGTGGCATAAGACTTTAATCCTAGCACTTGAGAAGCAGAGGCCTGCGGATCTCGGATCTCTGAGTTTGAGACCAGCCTGGTCACCAAAGCAAATTCTAGAATACCCAAGACCACACCGTAAAACCTATATTAAACAAAACAAACAAACAAACTCCCAAGACTTCCTAACTCAGGTTGCCCAGCTTTCTAACCTAAATTCCAAACAGGGTCTCTTGACTCAAGGCCATGTCTAGCCTTCTCTCTGAGAAGAAGGTAGCCAGGGAGAGCAGCCTACAACCTTTCGAGTCACCAATGAGGATGCAGAAGTACGAGGATGTCCAGAGTATGCAGAAAGAGGATTTCTGGAATGACTTTCCAAGCACACTGGGCCAAGGGCAAAGTGCCGGCATCCTGTTCATAGGAAAGAATGCCCCAGCATGCTCACTTTCTAGCACGGAGGCATGCATGAATTACAGACTAGAACCATGGCTCCCTGAAGACGAGAGCCAGGCTGTTTGAATTTTCTGTTCTAAGAACCAAGCTCAGGAATTGTCTGCAGACTCACTGCATATCCAAGACCGAGCTTTGCAGCTTGAGGCTTTGAAAGAAAAAACTGGTATAGGGAAAGTAAGAAAACCAGACCCGTGGGATCTTGAGTGGTCCAAAGTGCATACAGTGAGATTTATGAAAGAGCTAAGACATGAATCTTGATTGGCAGACAAAATAGAAAGAGTATGGTAGTCTACAGTATCTAAAAGGGGAACCCAAAAGCAGGAAGAAGCAGTTCTTGGGTTTTTAACGTGGTTTATAGCAGTAGTCACTGGGGGTAAAAAAAAAAAAGTGATCTGGAATTAAGTATTCAGAGACAGATAGATCTGGAGAGGAAGTCTGTGACAGAGAATGTGGAGTTCCCAGGCTCCAGACTCAGCTTTTAGTGAATTGGGGAAATCACTTCCTTCTTGTTCCTAACCCATCTCTGTGCCAGAAACCCCAAGCATCCTAGGCAACCTGTCTGCCTAGGGACGTTCACTGTCTTCTAAGGAAGGGTCACAAACAGCACAGCAGCAAGGTCATGAGTTTCACAGTGGATATCAGCAGGACTTCGGTGGTTGACAGGACTTAGGAAACAGGAAGTCTCCCTGATCAGGGGATGGTTAACTGAAATACAAGAATGAGGAAATACTTGCCATTGCAAAGAAGCAGAGAAGCATGCAGGAAGAGGGAGAAAGATGAGAGAGGGAAAGGCAGTAAGAACATCAGGAGTGTCCAGAAAACCAGGAAGGGTTTGGAGCCTAAGGGAGTCCGGCAATTCAGAACCACTCAGCCGAGAGCCAGACAGAAAGCCACACATATGCAGGCCACCTGCAGAGCGACAAGGAGCAACCGCACTTGAAGAGGATCAGGCTTGTCGTCTCCTGGATCTCTGAGAGCAAATTTGGTAGTAAGGAACTGAAGCCATCGCGCAGTCCCTGAAAATAGTAATGAGTGAAGCTTACTTAGGTGACTGGCGCAGGAGCCCAGTGTATCCCAGCTCTGCCACAGCCTCTCCATGCTGTCAGTTGATGACTCATGGCTTATTCTTAGAAATTAGAAATGACAGACAGCACTGTGTCATGGAGAAAACTGCTAAGTCTTCAGTGTGTTGTCAGACAAGGACTTGGAGCCACATTATAGAAATTTCTTGAACATCACATGGAATTCTCTCATGGTTTTCTTCTTCAAAGGACCCTAGAGAGGTTAGTTAACCTGAGCTTTCCAATGAGTGTGACTAAATGATGCATTCAATGGCTTATGTTATTTAAAAATCAAGTTTTTTCTTTTAATACAGAGTCAAGATATATGGAGGCTCTACCAGCCTACTATTTTTTCTACTTTTCATCTCTCCTTGAATATAAACTGTCTCTTATTGACCACAGCCTCCTTCTTCATTCCCAAGCACCACCCAGTGTGGCCAATTCATTTCACGGGCTGCATTATAGTAGCACGACTGTCATGAGGTATCCTTCCCCCACTAGGCCTTACTATAGATGAAACTCTCTTGCATGACCCTCTTATGTCCCAGCTACTCTATGGCTTCATGGCCTAGAAGAGTTGTGCAACTTGGTATTGGCCTCCAGTGGGTCTGGGATAGGTCACAGATGAACACTGTGTGCCTGCCTTCTGGACAGACACTCACCCAAGTTCTCTGCTCAATGCTCTGTAGCCCATGGCTTGATCTGTTGACATCGTTTGTCAACTAAGTGCATGGCCACAAGTCTAACTGGTCAATCAAGTCACCATAATCAAAGTTTGCAAAACCTTGGCTAAGATCCCTGCTCTGTGTCCTGTTTCCTCAATTGTTATATGGAGTAAGTAATGGTATCTGCTTTGTGGAGTGCTTGTTAGGGTCAAATGAAACAGTACGAGTGGTTAATGAATATTTACTACTGCTGCTAGAGTAATGATGGGGATGGGTATAGGGGCTACTAACTTTAAGGGTTCTTTTGCTACTTGGCAATAAAACTTAATGGTTTGCACTGTGGCCTCTACTTTCTAAAGCTGGGGTACCAGTAAAGGCAAGCCTATACAAGATCATCATTTATGGCAAGTCTTGTCTACCCTGTGGGAAACCTGGGATAGTAGGGCAGAAACAGTGAATCTGGTCTCCTCTCCTAATGCTAAGGCAAGGACACCCTGGGGAAGCAGTTACCAGCATGAGGTCGCAGAGCTAATAGGTGGAAGAGCTAGGTCTACACTCCAGGATTCTTGATAATTGGTTCTGTCCGTACTGTGTAATGAGGCTACAGTGAGGGGAGCCACAAAAAGATAATCCGCCTTTGCTGAGAGCCACCTTGTGCTAAGCCCAAGGAGAGGAGTCTTGTATTCATGATGCCACATCACTTTCATCAGAATAGCAGGGAGTGGGGACATTATCCTTACTTTACAAGTGAGAATAAGGTGACAAAGTTTATAAAGCTCTTATCTTGATTCATTTTCAGCTGCAATAAGTAAATATTATAGACTGGAAAACACAATAGATTTCAATCTTTAGGTTCAATAGAGGCTTTACTTAATGTATTTCAAGATGGGGGTTTCTATGAGGACATTGGAATCTGGGAAGCCCTATTGTTGTGTTATAACGTAATGGAAGCAGTGCATGGAAAGGAACATTCATCAGACCAGAGAGAGCCATATATTATAGCAAAGCCATTCCTATAAGAACACGAGTCCACTCAGGACAGAGCCCTCTTACTCCAGTCACTTCCAAATCTCCTCACTTCTCAAACAGCATTAAAAGATGCCATTGGGGATTTAATTGTCAACATATGAAATTTGCAGGACAGTGAATACGTATGCAGGTGTGTGTGTGTGTGTGTGTGTGTGTGTGTGTGTGTGTGTGCATGTGTGAAAGTAGGTCAGAGATAATCTCCCATTTGCAGGCTGAGTTAGTCCTGTAGTTCAAGCACAGAGATGGAGGACTCAAATCAAACTCTTCTCCTCCCCTGCCAAGAACTCTAAAAGCCAAGGGTGTTCTTTTTTTTCACCCACATTCATCTCTGGTCTTCCTGGGTGTCTGACTATGTTCCAGTACTCTGTGAAGTGACCAGTGACTTTCTAGGGGCTTTCCTCAGTTTTTGAAGTTAGCTTAGAGGACCACAATCCTGCCAGGATATAGACTTCTAAAGCCAATTGCTGATACACTATATATTAAGAGAAGAAAGCTTGATTTTTTTTATTAATATCTCGCCCTTTGGCTAGTACACTGAGATCAGCAAACTAATTGCCAGGTGTGTCACTGCATCTTTGCCATTCCAGTTACCAACATCTAAGAGTCCAGTCCCCATTCTAAACTCAGAGTGTTGCAGCAAATCTGATACAAGAGCAAGAACCCAGTAGGTCACTTCCATTTCTGAGTTGGCACACACATGTGGCAAGCACCATCTTCCTCCTTTATGACCCCCTTTCTTTCCGTGTTTTATCAAGCTGAGCTCTGTGTAATGAGTGACTGCCCAGGGTCTCAAACACTGGTTTCTGCCAGACAGGAAAAGATGATTCCACTTGCCACTAATGGAGACCACAATGCAGCTGGCATGATGAAATCTGTTTGGTGCTGCACACCAGCCCTACCTATGTGACAGTGTTGGGTTTTTACTAACTGCAAAGTACAGCCTATTTTAGGCAGCAGGTGCTTCCCAGAAGCAAGCCCCCTTGATCGTGTATGCCAGGACCTTCTTCTCTGATGCCAGGCCCCTTACCACTGCACTTGGGGCATTTGGGTCTGGAAAATAGAGTGAGGTATCTATGATTTCCCTCCATCAACTGCTCGGAGCATATCTCCTGTATCCTTCTTACTTTGGGGAAGAGGGAGGAGACATCAGTATAGACATTCATCTGCAAAAGAAGAAATGGGACAAAGGAGATCTGACAGAAAGACAGACAGTACGGACAGTCTCATTCATGTTTGTCTACAGAGAAATAGAAAGGGCAAAACAAGTCATAACCTATTACTAGGACCCAGGAGCCTAGCGAGGAGGTAAGAGAAGCAAATCTAGTCAAGAACATACTTCTATAAATAAAGTTTGATTGGTGCCAGGCATGGTGGTACACACCTATAGTTCCCACACTCAGGTCTTGTAGCTGGATCTACTTATTGAAACCTCAAAATAACAAAAATTAAAGCTTTATTGGAACAGTAAATACAAAAATACCTTTTTGCTTGTGATTTGGTTGTTTTGCATTTTATTCAATAATAGCAAAGCTATGAAAGCATATGCTCCCAAAGCAGAGAGCATTTCCTGTCAATTCAGTTGCAGAAACATGTTGGGAGTGACCCAGTTCCTGTCAAGGTCCTTTGAAGTGCATTACATTTGATCCCATTTACTCATCGCAGCAACTTTTGGTCTATGAGTATTGATAATGGTTTGCGTGTAGAGACTTGGAGAAATAAGGCAACTACTTGTCTGTCAATAGAAGCATTTAGATTTGACCCAACGGCACTTCTTGTTCTTTGTTTCTAAATACTGAGACCTGGCTGGGTTCAACCCTTGAGTGAGAGACTTCAGCACATGGGGGACTGCAGGAAAGACGACAGTGAGGAGGCACGGGTCAAACGAAGGCAGAGGGCAGGAGTGAGTACAGCCAATAGCGTGGGAAAAGAAATGCAGAATTTCAGAGAGGAGAGACCAAGTTTACCGACTAGAGCAGAGGGACAATGTATTGGGTGTACTCTGGCAGATCACACAGCTACAAAGACCTCATTGCCCGTCAACCCTGAGGCTTTGCTGAGTCCAGGTGCTTCAGGCCATGGCAGGCCAGCCTCACTCCCTGAACCCAGTGTTTTCCGAAGGCCGGTGGTCACAGTCTTCAGGAGCAATGACAAGAGCCAAGAGTCCCTTCACACTGGAGTCAAAATCAAACCAGCTACAAACCTGATGTTTGTTTTAACAACACACTCACATGTGACCATAGTTTCTGTTTAAGCAGGTGCAAAGAAAGGACACGGCACTGGAAACCAGCCCACTGGCATCCTGTTTGTCAGCGGTTCCACATGTGACCTTGGATAAGTCACTTAAATGTTCTAATTCCAATCTCTATCACGTGTGGGGCTTGGGACAAATGGATCTCTATCAGCACATGCTTCTTAAATTGCATTAGATGAATCAACACAGAAACCATTAAGAACTCCAGAGACCACACATCAGCTGATTAGCTACCTTTGGCTTTCAGTTAGATATGATCCCATCAAGTTAAGAGTCAGGCGGCATTGTTTGATTTTGTAAGAACGTCGGTATCCGTAACTGGCATCTGAGCTGTCCTATCATGAAACGAATTAATTGATCTTAATGTTTACCAGCTTTTCACTTGATGCTAACATACGACTGTAAATAAAGCAGAAGTAACCAGGCATCTCAACAACACAGACCGGCAAATACCAGACCGGGAAACAGCTGAGCACTTCCCAACCACGTGGCTCCAGAGCCAACCAGTTTGGGTTCATAGCTGGGCTGTAATTAAGTATTCATGCACCTTAGCCAACTGCGTAGCTTTTCTGTGTCCTACGTCTTCATCTGCAAAACTAGGATAAAAATAGTTTGTGTTTCAGTACTGTGTTGCAGGATCAATTTATCCAGCTCTTATAATGCTATTAGCACTGTTGAGGCACACATAAAGTGTTATATGAATATCACCCATGGTGATAATTAGGAAATGTACTGGGTAGTAAAAGCTCATGTGTTCTCTAGAGTCACAGTTCTTACAGAATGAATCTATAGATAGGTAGATAGATAGATAGATAGATAGATAGATAGATAGATAGATAGATAGGAAGGAAGATAGATAAGATGATAGAGTGATAGATGATAGATACATAGATAGATAGATAGATAGATAGATAGATAGATAGATAGATAGATGATACATACATACATACATACATACATACATACAAAGGAGATTTATTGAAATGACTTACAACCTACAATAAAGTGAATTCAACAATGGCTATG